CGATGAATCAGTTCTCCTGAGAAGTTCATGAAATCGAAGTCTCTGTCCTGGTAAGATATCTTTGATTGTTTGTTCTGCTATGAGTTAATTTGTGGACAGAATTGGGAATTGAAGCAATCGAAATTAGGGTTTTGATTAGGGTTGTTGCATGTGAAAATAATTGGGGATTTTCTGAAATTAGGGTTGTTTGGTTATTGTCTCAACCGTAATCTGTGATTTTTGGCTTCATGTTTTGCTCGACCCTTGCGACTGGTCGTAAAACTAAATCTTTGGTGTTCGATACAATTTTCTTCCTTATTACTTAGAGGAATTGACACAGTATGTAATAGTTTGTAATATATTGGCCAGTTTTTGGATTTCTCTAATACAAAATTACTGGAACATATGATCTTCTATGTGGTTGGCAAAGTTAATGACATTGCTTGTTATTATTTTTCCTTAGGGTNTNGCTAAATTTGTTGAATGGAGTGCTAACATGATGGAGGAGGAAGCCAAGAAAAAGTTGAAAGCTGCAGAACTTCAATGCAAAAAAGATCGGGTGAAAATGTGGCAACCGAACAATCTCGCAAGCAAGCTGAGAAAGACCAGCATGAGAGGTATATGTATACATTTTTATCATATTCCTTAATGGGTTTCATGCATTCTTGTAGCCTGGTCATATTCGTATTGATTTTACTCTTGAATCTGTATTTTCTGTTTGTGAATTTATTAAGTCTTCTACTCTTAATGGAAATGTGTTTGCAGGTTTGGTTCTGAATCTGGTTTGAAGAAATCTGCTTCCTTTTTCCAACTACGAAGCAAGGTAAATAATCATCCTGAATCTTTCTTATATCAATGATCACTGGTTTGTGATTGTGTTCATATGGTTGTTTGTTGTTGATTAGAACTTGGTTATAGTAGACATGAACATGACATTTGTGGAGGTTGATCTTGAGAATGACTTGTCTTCCCTTTAACTTGAATTTTTCTTGCTCAATAGTCTCTTAAAAGTCTTTTGTTTTTTTTGTCAGAGTAGAATTTAGAACTTCCTGTTAAAATCAGCTTTGCTTTGTCTTGAGACAGATTCTTTAGAGTAGAATAAAGAAGCTGGATGATTCGTTTTGTTTAATTGTGTCTGGATTTTTCATGCAGGTTTATGGAAATTGATCTAGGGGAAATCGTAAGGACGTGCAGTGTCCGATATATCATTTCATCCTCAATGTTTCTAATTTAAGTCAAATCGCTTTTGTTAATCTTAATTACAGCATCCTGCTGGGAATGCATTGATAAGTCAATGAGATTGGGGTATGCCTGCTATTTTTTTTGGGTCGTATCTATGTTGTTTCGGTTTCTTTTGTTGCTTCAGTTCTATGCCACTTTCCAGTTACATGTTCATCGTTTCCTTGAGAGCCACATGTATTTGCTTTTGTAAAGCTTTGTTCTGAGTGTGTATATTGATATTGCAGGAACAATATCTTCAAGCCTATTGC